TATACTAAAAGTCAGTTCAACGTTAGGTAATGTTTGTTGGGCGGGGGTGGGGTGGGGTGGATCCTTCATTGTGTGATTACAGTAACATATAACATAGTATCGGTGTTTATGAGTAATAAAAAAAATCACTAGAGTGAGAAATTGTTTAAAGTTTTAGGTTCTATTTCTTGAGATGAACTCATCAATTTTTAACTGGATTGGTAAGTTTTAAATCATAAGCTGATAAAGTTGGGTGATAGATACATTTTCTGGAATACATAAAAAGTCTTTTGAAATATCTAATTTTCTAAAGAAACCTTAGTAGACAGCAGAGTCGGCTCCACATACGTGGGGAAGCACACAGCTTATGTGTGCACCTGGCAGAACCCCCAGTACAGAGAAAACCAGGTGCTATTTCCTAACAATACCTTCTTGAGCGCGTCCCAATACTATAGTTAGAAAATGGCTCAGATTTTTAGTTGCTTTCCCAGAACTCAAAGATCGTCTTCCTGTTTATCTTGGGGGGATGCCTATGTTATACTTGTGATTTTTCTGTTCTCTGTAACAGAAAATTTACAGAGAATTTTTTTTTGCACTTTTTTAATAATGAGTTTATAAGCTGTCATCTGACATTATGGAGTCCCTGTTTGATCTTACAGAAGGAATATTACGTGGTCATTTTACAAACAGTAATTTTGAAGATGTGGCAACATGGAAAATCTTCATGAAAAGACACAGTTAAATGTATGTCATGATTATAATCTTACACAGACATCTATAAAATTCGATTGAGACTCAAAATCAAAAGGAACACCAAAATATCGTGCTAAAATTGGAGAATACAAATAATCCACTACAAGGCCACCATCTTTAAAGGGTACCTCAGGATTTCCTTACTTTAAAAAAAAACAAAACAAAAAAACACCTTTTTGTGGTCCACAGAGTATATATAAAGTTGTTTGTTTTAGGAAGGAGTCAGGCAGGAGAGATGACTAAGGAAACCAGAGAAAAGGAACCAACCCATTCTGGTGGTTGTGAATCTTATCGAAGGTTGGTTGGGTCAGAGCGGGTGCCAATAACAGTAACTCATTAATCTGTTAGTCCTTTAAAACAGTAGCTAAAATGCCCAAGCTAATTTCAAGAAAAATCAGAGAGAGAGAGAGAGAGAGAGAGAGGGAGAGAGAGAGAGATGGAGACAGTCCCAGTCTATCTTGTGGTCTGGAATCTTAAAACAAGATCGTCACAGATGGGGAAACAAGAGGCCATTAGTTAACAATCAGATGTTTGGTTTTTATTTCCTGAACAGCCAAGATACACTCTCTTGTGAATTTTTAACATATTTTTAAAGGAGAAATGGGGCTAGTCCCTGGAAGGTAAATTGTTCCCTGGGCTTTCCTCAAGAGTCAACACAACCATTTGTCCATTCACGTCCTCACTTAAGTCTGTCCTGCGCATCGACTCTCAGCTTTGCCGCAATCTTTGTAAGTCTCTTGTCAGTTTATAGTGGTGATTGCTTAATAGCTTACGTTAACATTGCCAGAAAAGAGCAAAGGGAAGCCAGATCCGTGGTGGGTTAGCTTTGGCCCAAGCCAGTGAGGTATGGGGATGACAGCACTTTTACTTCAATTCATCCTTCCGTTTCTAGAACAGTTGATCTGGATTAGGTTGGGGGCAGGAAAAAACTCGTAATAATTCCTGGCTTTGGGAGACGCAAGCCTTTGTTCTCCCCAGAGTATTAGGTAACACTCCTAATGCTACTAATCATATAATCCCGAGAATTGAGAGGGACACTCATTCGTTGCCTTACTCTGGTTTCACCCTTTGTAAATGAGCATGATAACAGTACGCACCTCATAGTGTATTCATGAGGATTAAATGAGTATTTGTAAAATGCTTAGAACAGAGACTGACATAAGCACCATAGAAGTGTTTATAAGTTCCTACATGACAATGTAAATCTCTTAACATCTGAGTAAAGTGGCCACTGCTACAATGTTGGTAGAGTTCCAGAATCTTCTTGGTGAACTTCTCATTGGCTGGCTGTAGCATTGCCAGCAGATGGTTTGGTGAGATTCTCACTAACTTGGAATTAGTTCACAGATTATTGAGCCTACATAAGTGAAAATTCAGAAATTGTGGATCTTTGGAAATATTTGAAATAATATTTTATATTTGCTCAGTTCATGAAAATTTTGGAAGTGTCATATTAAGTATTTTCAAGGTATACATGTTCAGTTTGTGATTTTGTGTACTTAGAACAAAAAGGAAGCAAACGAAGGGTTTTTTTTTTTTTAAGATTGTATTTATTTGTCAGAGAGAGAGAACACGTCCAAGCAGGCGGAGAGATAGGTAGAGAGAGAAACAATTCCCCCACTGAGCGGAGAGCCCCACATGGGGCTCGATCCCAGACTCTGGGATCATGGCCGGAGCCCAAGGCATCCTCTTAACCAAATGAGCCACCCAGGTGACCCACTACTGAAGGTTTTGATATGAGTATCTGTTCTTTTAACTAGACATGAAGAAAAAAAGCACACAGGCATGTAAATACACTTGTTTGCACACCATAGACCTAAACAGTAATTTTAAACAAAATTGTTGGGCTACTTTTAGTACCTACAAATAACTAAATTTAGAAGAATCACGTTTGTGGAATGAGTGTTCTTCAGTAAAGTTCCTGCCCTTGAGGATAGTTAAGAATCATTTATAATTACTCTAGCAAAAGGAGGCCTATGAAGTATTCTCTTTTACATGTATTGGAATTATAGTTCATATAATTTACGTATATCAAAAATGTTTTAAAAGTTTGCTATTTTAAGTCATTGAACAGCTTCTTTACATTTTTAAGAACTTCTTAACTAATTTGCTTGGAATCTTGCTTAGTGCACAAGGCAGACCTAGCAATTGCTTTCTCTTTGTTCCGATCCCCTTCTACCCACCCCTCCCTTATGAAACAGTCCAAATTCTAGGTTATCATTATTAGTTTACGTGTCTGCCCCGTGCACTGGACCATATACCTGTCGAGTGTACATAGTAGAACTAGTTCATTTGTGTGCCAAGCACAGTGTGGAACGTAGTGTGCTTCTAAGGCATTTGTTGAAAAAGCCTAATTAGCAGTATCTGAAACAATATTTCACTGCATTTAATTAAGCTCTGGGAAAGCTGGATACACAATTGAGATGGATTCGGGTGTTGATTCTTTCCAGAAAGTTGGACTTTTAGTTTGGTTTGGAATTTGAAGCTGTGAGTATAACATTTACCTCAGTCTCCCAAAGTCCAAGCTAATTGGAATTACTGTCCTCAGTCACCAGGACAGACGACTGGATCGCCGGGAGACTGTTTAGTTACATAGAAGAATTTAGGGACACTTCTAAGTTCTGTATAGTTGGTGCGAGAGCTGTGATGTTTTTGACTCAGGCCAGTTAAAAAACAGAATTCTACAAAGTAATTTACAATCATTCCTCGTATTCTCCTGCCTTTGACCTTTCAACTGCTCTGTTGTCAGTCTGAGAGGCTTTCATCTCCAGGACTGATGTTACTGTCAATCTGTTCGGATGATGCGCAAGCCTAGCACAGCATTTTCCCAGTAGCAGGCGTTCAATAAAAATTGTGAAAATCTAAATTGCAGCTTTTTATTCTTAAGTGGCAAAGTGGAAAGAAATCTTTGGCTTTATTTCTGATAAGATTTGTATGTCTTACAAAACAAAAATAGGTTCATCGGGCGTGCACGGATTCTAACACGAGATTTTTTACATTTAAGAAGTCGTTCATGCTCGTTGACCGCCAAAATCCCAATTCTCGGGTGAAATTCCATCAGTTTGAATTTAAGTGCCTGAATGTGGATATTGGAACGACCACTGATTAATTTGAACTTGGCAGCCAAAAATTTCTTCAGAGGATTTGACGCTCGGCAACATCTCGTAAGGCTTAGAAATGGCTTTAAAAAAAAAAATAAAGTAAAATTTCAGTACCTGTAAATGTGCCTCACACGGGGCATGGGGGCTAGGATGAACGCTGCAGCGAGACTTATTTTTTGTTTTTAACCACTTCAGGCCTCGAAATAGAGGCCGTGTTGGTGTCATGGAAAAAGCAGCCTTGGAATCTGACAGAGCCTAATTCCTGGATCCAGTCCCAGTCCTGCGTGACCCCGGGCGAGTTACTTTACTTCTCTGAATTTCCGTTTCCTCCTATGCAAGACCGGGACGGCGAGAACCACCTTGCAGCGCAGGCTGGGGCGCGCCGAGAACCCACCTGGCGGGTCCTAAACCGACTGCTGCCATATTCCGGGCCCCGCTCCGCGCAGCTCCCGCCCCCGCGCTCTCCCCAGCAGGTGTAGGCACGGTCCGCCGCGCCGGGCCACCCTGCGGCCCGGCGGCCCCGCCCTTCCGCTCTCGCGGGCCTGCCCCTCGGCGTCCCCGCGCAGGCAGCGGCGGGCGGTGGCAGCGCGCCGGCCTCCGTGTCCCGGGCCCGCCCCGGGCGGAGCGCGCACAGGGGCGGGGTGGGGGGGGGGCGCAGGCTGCCGGGACCCGGCTCCCAGGCCCAGCCCCGCCGAGTGCCGGCGAGCGGAGGCGGCCCCGGCGCCGCCCGCGCCCGAGCGCGTGTGCGCGGCCGCCGCCCCCTCGGCCCTCCCCTCGGCCCTCCCCTCGGCCCCCTCCGCCCTCGCGCGCCGCCCGCCCGGGTCGTGGCGGGGCCGTGGTGTACGTGCAGAGCGCGCAGAGCGAGTGGCGCCCGCACGCCCTGCGCTCCTCCACAGGCCCAGCCGGGCGACCGCGGACGTTAAGGCGGCGGCGGCGGCGGCCGGTCTCGCGCGCCGGGCCCCGCGTGTCCGAGCGGAGGTCTCTGTCCGCCGCGCAGGCCGCGGTGCCCCAGCTCGCGGCAGTGATGAGGCGCTGAGGCGGCCGCCGGCGCTGCGCGGCCGGACCCGAAGACGAGGAAGCGGCCGGGCCGAGGGCGCGGGGCGCCGGCCTCCCTCAGGCGGGGAGTGGCGGGTGCATGGCGCAGTGACGGCCTCTGTCGCTCCGCCCGCTCCCCGTCCCCGGGCGAGGCCCTCCGGCCGCCACCTCTCCTGCTCGGCTACCGCCTCCGCCGCCGCCGCCATGGCTAATGACAGCGGCGGGCCCGGCGGGCCGAGCCCGAGCGAGCGAGACCGGCAGTACTGCGAGCTGTGCGGGAAGATGGAGAACCTGCTGCGCTGCAGCCGCTGCCGCAGCTCCTTCTACTGCAGCAAGGAGCACCAGCGCCAGGACTGGAAGAAGCACAAGCTCGTGTGCCAGGGCGGCGAGGGCGCCCCCGGCCACGGAGCGGGCCAGCACCGGCACCCCGGCCCCGCGCCCGCCGCCTCCGCGCCGCCGCCCAGGGCCGGCGGGGCCGGGGCCAGGGAGGCCAGGAAGGCAGCGCCGCGCCGGGACAGCGCCGCCGAAAAGGCGGGCCCGCGGGCCGCCGGGGACTCGGCCATGGCAAAGGCCAAGCCCGCGGCCGACCCCGCTGCGGCCGCGTCCCCGCCTCGCGCGGCTGCCGGCGGCCAGAGCCAGGCGGCGGCGGTCGAGGCGGAGCCCGCGAAGGAGGAGGACCCGGAGAAGACGAACCTGTACCCGCCCAGCCACACGCCGGGCGAGGGGCTGAGCCACGGCGGCGGCCTGCGGCCCAACGGGCAGACGAAGCCGCTGCCGGCGCTGAAGCTGGCGCTGGAGTACATCGTGCCGTGCATGAACAAGCACGGCATCTGTGTGGTGGACGACTTCCTGGGCAAGGAGACCGGGCAGCAGATCGGCGACGAGGTGCGCGCCCTGCACGACACCGGCAAGTTCACGGACGGCCAGCTGGTCAGCCAGAAGAGCGACTCGTCCAAGGACATCCGAGGCGATAAGATCACCTGGATCGAGGGCAAGGAGCCGGGCTGCGAAACCATCGGGCTGCTCATGAGCAGCATGGACGACCTGATCCGCCACTGTAACGGGAAGCTGGGCAACTACAAAATCAACGGCCGGACGAAAGTAAGTGAGCGCTGGGGGGTGCGCTGGGCGTCCCGTAACTGCGCGGGCCGCCCCCGGCCCCGCGACAGGAGCGTGGTTTCTCTGTAGAAAGTAATTCCCTTCTTGTGTATGTAGACCCCATCGGGAAAACGGTTCCAGTCCGGAGATAGGTGCTTATATCCTTTCTCTCTTGCCCACTGTTTTCCGCGTACTGCCCCTTTACAAACGTCTCTGTCTGATGGCATGGTTTTGTGGCTGACCTTAGGCCCGCCCTTTCACTTTGCTGTTTTTTGCTGTTTTTGCTTTTCCAGTGCACTGTCGGTTCAAACCTTACTGGAGTTTTAGCCTCCCGTTGCGGGTAGTAGAGTAGTTCCCAAAGCCAGCGCTGGTTCTGCATCTGCCCAGTGTTTGCCTACACCCCTAAATTCTCCCTGTGGTGCCGGAGCCGCTCATCAGGTTCTGGTTTACAGAGTGGAATGCTGTGTTTGGTTTAAGGAGATGCCGGCCTGACCGCGAAAAGGTAAATTTGAAATCAGTACTTGGTCAAAAGACTCGTGTATTCAGGAAGAGCTTGGCTGCTCCCCTCCCTTCTCCTGTCTCCTTCCCCTTCCCTATCCCTACTGTTTTGAAACCCCCCACAAAACGGGGAAAGAAGTATTTCCGTTTTTAGACCTTGCAGTGTAGGTGGGTTACATTTTTAGCATAGGTTTCCTTTATTCGCTTTCTTAATATAATCCTTCTGTTGAAACAGAAGTGTGTTGTAGCTTCCTGCTAGGAAAAAAAAAAACCCACGGAATTGGAGCAGGAGGGAGGGCTCGTTCTAAAATCTCAATTTGGTGGAATCTCTTTGTTTTCTCTTTACTCTTGTAGCCCCCCCCCCCCCATTCTTCTGCTGGTACCTAGTCTAATTCCTCTTCCCTCCTCTCTATGGTAAAACCGAGACTTCCCTCCTTAATGCTCTCTCTCGCAGTTCTTTTTCATGTTGCTTCCCAGGTCTTAATCTTTTCTTTGTATCCAGCTCCTCCCCAGGCCGCCCTGCTCCACCCTCCTCCACCATCAATCTGTGTCTGATAGTTTGAGTTTTAAGAGCTTGTCTTAGGAGACCGTCACGTGTGTGTTTGTGCACACACACGGACTCTGCCCACTGGTTCTTTTGTGTGTTGTCAGGGCATCTGTTTTGCCAGCATCATGGGTGACTTTCAGGCTGCCTGAAGGCCGAGCATAAGGCAGTGAGGAAAGTTCTAAACATTAAAATCTTGTGGGGAAAAATACAGTGTAAACTCTAATTTATATATTGCCGCCTCATTACTGGATGAAGGCACATGTCTTCATGTGTAGTTTCAAAAAAGTGAACAGCCGCTTAATATTAAGCTAGAGGAGGAAAAGGAAGCCTGATTAGACCTCAGTCTCAGTCTGCAATAAGAATTTCATTTATATAAAAAAACAAAACTTTTGTCATGGATCAAATCTTAATATAGTCATGAACTCTAGAGCAGGAAGGAAACCGGCCTGCGGGAAGATCCCGACCGGTCATTAGTTGGGGTATAAACTTAAGGCTAATTTACGAAGAAGTTAATGTCCTAAATCTTCCTTGATCTGCTTTCCTTGGTTAATTTAGCTTTCCGAGTTAAGTCCTCTCCTGACCCCCTGTTTTCAGTGTGGCCTCAGGGAAGGGATAGTAGTTAGCCCGGCAAGATCTTAGAGCAGTTGCTTCTCACCTAGAGGTTGTTAGAAAATAGCCACCTCTGCATCAGGCATCCTGGTGCCTGAAGGGAACAGTAGTTGAGGTCCTAAATCACTCTAGCGTATTATTTTATTTCGGGTTTTTTTTTTTTTTTAAGAGATTTATTTATTTATTTGAGAGAGAGAAAGAGAGCTTGCATGGGGGCGGGGAGGGGCAGGGCAGTGGGGCGGAGCCAGGCATTGGGAGAGGGGGAGAGAATCTCACCATGACCCTGAGATTAGGACCTGAGCCAAAACCGAGAGTCAGACGCTTAACTGACTGAGCCACCCAGGCGTCCCAGAAGGGCAGATTTTAAACTCCTTAGACTGATCTTAGGCTTACATTAATTTTCAGCACACAACTTGAGAATCCATGAATGTTTTTAGGGAACCTCTTTCATTGTATTTGTTTGAGAGAGCTTTTGTTAATTGTGTTCAATCATGTAATTTTAGTATTCCTAAAAAAAACGAAGATCTTGCTTTGGGGGAATGGGAGGGCTGTCGGGTTGTTGGCCACCATATATTGAGCAACCACTGTGGGCTAGGCACTGGAGTGGGCCCAGTGCAGACGTGATCACCATAATCAATCTTCTGAAGTGTCGGTGGTAGTTTGGCTAATTTACATTTGAGGATATTTCCGGTCAGACGTGGCTAAGGACAGCCAATTGTACTAACCTCGATGGCATTCATATTTAGGTGATTCAGGTATCAAGCCCCAGGCTTTTTCTACTATACTGCATATAGGTAGGATAGTAGATGAGCTGTGGATTACTTAGCATACAACTGGGACTAAAATTTGCTATATTTTATTGATGGTGATAGCATTAGCCTTGTGTGTGAATAACTACTTTATGGTTGGCCTCTATAAACTTTTTAGTAGATGACTACGCAGTGTTTATTTCCGATGTATATTTCAGTGTCTGAAAAGCCGCTTTATAGTTACCCATTTGAGTCATGCTCATTTCTGTGTAACTTTTAAGAGAGGCAGAATATGGGCACTAATGGGATTGAAGAGAGGATCTTCAGTTAAGAATTTTGTCATTCTTTACACCACTATAGTAATTTAAAAAGTTACTTGCCCCAAATGTGTACTGTTTTTCTCACTTAGATTTTCACAACAACACTGTAAAATAGGTAGATTGTTGATATATTTTTCCTGTTCATCGTTTAGAAAGGTGAGCCTCAGGAAATCATGCGCTTGTGGGAAATCATGCCGCATACCGAGAGTTAAACTGAAGTTTTCTGACCAAGAACAAATATCCTTTTTTATTTATATTGTCTATTCTGAGTGGTCTTTGTGTGTGTGAGGGCCTGATAATCAATGATTTATACTTGGCTGTGGCTCATTCAGTGTTAAACTTTGATTTCCCCCAAGTTTCTACTTCAGACATGCTTATCTGGCCCACTGTCTGTCCAGCTCCTTTAAAAGAGGAACTGTGGGGAAGGATGAAGTAATGCACTCTAGGACACATGTAACTGAGCTGCAGCTTCCACTTTCTCTGGTCCTTTTTTCGGGATTTTCCCATCTTTTGCCCTTAAACTGACCTTAGATCCTTTTTCCTTTCTCACACCCTTCCTTCAGCCGGCAGTGAGTTCAGTAGGAAGAAATCGTGGTCTGCTGATCTTTGAAGAGCAGTGTCATGTGGGCTCTAAGAAATCATAGGAGGCTCCACTTGGGGAGAGGAGGAAAAGGAATGCAGATGAGCGGGGATCATGGGAAAATGCTGAACCATTCAGTTGGAGTTTCTCAGCTACTGTGAAGGAAGATGTGCCTGTTAGAGTAGAAATGCCAGAATCATATACATATTTTTGGAATTCATCCAAAACTTAACTCTGTTCAGTTCAAATGTACATCAAGAAAAGGAATGATAAAATGGGTTGAGACTAAGAAGAAGCAAATTATATTCCTAAGATTTTTCGTTAGTGTCGCCCTTAGTCAGCTCTGGCTGGCGATGGTTTCAGAGCAAAGAATAGGATGAGGAAAATCCTGTTGGCTTTATTCTCACTATTGTAGTAGAGATGTGGTGACAGGCCTTTTAGATGTTACAAACAAAACCAAACATAACTTCCTTCTCGGTCCACTTCTGCCACTTTCTCTGTACTCTTGGCATCCACCATGCACGAAGGGGAGCAGCTGGTTTAGTGTTTTAATAGGTCTATCAGTCTTAAAGATCAGAGTCCATTATTCCGTATGTGAAAAGGTCGAAAACATTGCAAGTGCAGTAATAAGTTTCCTGTAGCGCTTTACAGTTTAAGAGAAATGTGCGGACTGAAAAAGCCGTCTTCATAGGTTGTGACTGAACCAAGTTCAACATTGTAGGAAAACATTTTGTATAGCGAATTAGTATACATGTAGTTCACATATAACCTCACTTCTTGAACTATTAAAGAATTCTATTTTAAATTAAAAGGGTTTGTGTTTTTTGGACGTTTTAAACTCTTCATCCACCTGTTACCTAGTAAGCCCCAGGAATACGCTGTAAGACCTTAGTCCTGGGAGGACGGCATCTGAACGGAGAAGGCTGGTGGACTGGGCGCTGCTGGTCCATCTGGCAGGGATCCTGGGTCGGCCGCTGCTTCTGTGTCCCTGAGCCTATTGCTTCATACTGCTGCATCTCAGTGACTCCGCTTGTCCACTGGTGTTAAATCATAGTCGCCTTTCCTGCCTCGCAGGCTTGCTGTGAGCAGTACGTATAATTATGCGTGTAAAAGTGCTTTCTAAATGGTAAAGCCCAGTGTTAAACTGTTGTTAACTATTACTCCATGTATCTGAAAGTTCTCCTGTTTTTCTGAATCTTTCTGTAAGAATGAGCTTTTCCTGTCTTTCCTTTTATAAGCTAGAGGGAAAAAAGACTGAGAATGATCACCCATTTTTTATCTGACCACTCCTCCCAAAACACGTACATTTCTTTTTAAACAGAAAATAAGTCCTGGAGAGGTTGAGCGGCTTGTTCAAGGCCGTAGAGTTCCTTACTGACAAAACCGACCGATGTTTGATCCAGTTGATTCTTATCACTTCTCTGCAACTTTATGCTGGATCTTGTGTAAAAACGACATATCCCTACTTAGCTAATTTTGGGGGTATTTGGGGGCCGTTTTTTGAGAATTGCTTGACCATTTACAGCTTCCCTTTTTCTTCTCCCTTTTACTCCTGTCATTGTACAGTATGGCTTACCTGACATTCTAGTTTAAATTTTCCTCCGTAGGGACAGGCTCCTTGCTCAGCCTGCTTCTCCCTCTGCCTACCACACCCGCTGCCTGTGTGCTGGCACACATGCTCTCTCTCTCTGACAAATAAA